TTTTAAAACAAAAAAATATATTCGTCAGTGCTATAAAAAATCGATATGTAAACAACATTTTCTTTACTTCTAGTTGCCCCTTTAAACATTCGACTACTAGGGGCACATCAGCCATTGTCTGCTGGTCGAAGATACGATCTATTGTGCCAAAGTGCTGGCTCCAGACCGCCTGCCGTAATTACTTGGTGGCAAAATGGCATACGGCTGGAGAAGACCACAGAAACTGTAAGAATATCCTGCTATAATTAACCGCCTAGAATAGTTTATATCCCCAAGTAAACTGTTTTATAGACTTCGAGCGATGGAAACCAGACAACGAGCACTCTTTCAATCAGTCTGAGTAAATCTGATGCGGGGAAATATTTATCATGCAAAGCCTACAACCATGCTGTTCCCTCTGAGCCCTTGGAAGATGGCTGGAAACTGGACATACAATGTACGTTTTAATTAAGAATAAGGTTTTTGATATGAGCTAACATATGCCTGGCTTTCAGATGTCCCTGAAGCATATGTTCGTTTGGGAACGTCTCTGGATCCAAGTACTTTGCGAGAAGGAACAGACGTGTACTTTGATTGTTTGGTAATGGCTCATCCAAATGTTTTTCGCATCGAATGGCGTCATAACGTGAGTTTTGGTATATTCCTAAAACGTTTTGATGTTTTAAATTCTATTTATTTTTCCAGGAGCAACCTCTATCACACAACATTTCACAAGGCATCATTATAAGTAACCACTCCTTAGTTCTGCAAGGTGTAACAAGGGCCACTGCAGGAAACTATTCCTGTGTAGGATTTAATGCCGAAGGCGAAGGAATCAGTGCTCCTTTTCCACTGAATATTCTATGTAAGTTTAAACCAAAAATTCGGAGTTTTCCCGTTTAAATTGGCTCAATAAGCTTTAAAAGACCCAATTTTCCGTGCAATGATTTTATTTAACCTAGTTATGTCCGGCTGAATGCATAATTTTATTTTCGCTGGCAGAATTCTTTTACCCCAAAAAATACCAATCAAATTTCGAAATGCATAAATAAAAACAGCATCATAATGGCGTTTACGTTATTTCGTTCACCTTTCTTTTGGCTTTAAGATATAATTAATGTTTTTATGGCATGTTCTTTATGTTCTTGTTTTATAGACGCCCCCACGTGTGCACAGAACCAAAAGAAAGTGTATGGGATAGCGAAGCAGGAGGATGCAAAGGTCATGTGCACCGTGGACGCCAATCCACGGGAGGTTGAATTTAGTTGGACATTTAATAATTCGGCCGAAAGTATCGACGTTGCCACCAATCATATTCTTCGCTCGGGTAAGTGATACTAACTTATTAGCCTAGTATAAAAGTGATTAGCAATTCTCCCTTTTAGGCACCACCTCCGTTGTAACCTATACACCCATAACTGAACTGGACTATGGAACCCTTTTATGCCTGGCTTCAAACAAAATTGGTAAACAGCGAGTACCATGTGTCTTCCATATTATCGCTGCAGGTACGTATTGTTAAGGACTTACAAATCGCTAACAGTTCTTACTATATCTATTCTATTTCTATCTTCAGGTCGACCCGAAAAAGTTCATAACTGCACGGTAAACAATATATCTATGACATCGCTAACCGTGACTTGTAGTGATGGTTTCAACGGCGGCTTGCCCCAACATTTCAACTTGGAACTGCTGGACTCTTACACACAAGTAAATAACTACAGCAGCCTAAGTTGACTTAAACTAATAAATTAAATTTGTTATACTCCAGGAAATTAAAGCAAACATTACCTCGACCATTCCTAAGTTTACGGTTCCTGGTTTAAGCCCAGGAAGCATTTATAGATTAAATATTTACGCCTTCAACACAAAGGGTCGATCTGATCCAGCAGTAGTTAATGCGGCCATGCTTCGAATGCCCGAAAAACAACTAACTTCGGAACAGAGTGAGTTTTAATCATCCATTTTTCAGTTTTAGTTCTAAACATCCATATTTTATGTCATCTTTCAGCTCATAACCTTCGTGCAGAGTTATTATTTTCGCCCGTGATGTCATTAACAATTGGCTTAACCCTTGCTGTGCTCGTGGCAGTTTTGGCCATAATTCTGGCACTTCGAATACCCTGCTCTGCTTCATCGAGAAGGCGTCAAAAGGAACTCTCGAATGAAAATATATCCCGAGATGAATCGCCAGGACCAAGTGATAAAAGTTCCGGAAGCAAGGAGGTGGACGATTGCGACGAAAAGAATCCAGATGTGGTACCTGAATCCATTGAGCCTGATGAACAGGTAAGATTGAAAAGTGATTGTACTATATCATTTGATCATAATAGCTAAGAGTCCTTATAAATTGAAATATTATTAAGTTGAGTACTTTAAACATTGTTTCTCATGACTAACCTTTATATATAAATCTTTTTTTAGGCTGAAAGTATCAGGAAAAGGCAGCAGATCTCGACCATTGATACGAATAGGAGTCCCAACCGGGGAATTTTCGTTAATGAGCAGCAACATCTAACAGCAGCCGAGATTTCCTTGCGAGCCTCCCATGGAATTGGTTATTGCACCCTGAGGAGTGGAATGCATGCCCAGGCTCAGAGTTCAGTGGGAGAAATATCAATTGTGAGTAAAATAAATATATCTTTTTAAGAATTAAGAACCCTAAGAATCGGGAACCCTCCATGAAGATTACTTAACTTGGTTTAAACCTTTACAGAACGTAACGCCCCACGTCTATTCGAACTCGATCTCGCAGTGCACTCTGCCGCGCCAGTCCTCGCAGAACGTGTGGAACAACTACAACTGCAACATCACCGGGGCGCGACCGACCTCCACGTTCCACCAGCTGACCTTTCCCCAGGGCAGGGTCAACGTGACTGGGCACAACCCGACGCAGCCGCTCCATGGACACGCGCCCTCGCCATCGCTGGCGTCCAACAGCTCGATGGCCTCGTCGTCGAACACACTGCCCCAGCCACATCCCCATGGCAGAACCATCGCCATGCACCACATGAACCAGGCCCAGTGCGGCAGGGTCTGCATCGGAATCGCCAGCGATGGCATCCACTCCGCCGAGCAAAACCTTTCCGACGACGAGGTGACCGTCCAAACTCCATTAATGATAAAGCGCGACAGCACCGTATGACTATAGAAATTCCACAGGGTTTTCGACACGCCCCTGTGATTAGGATTTACAATTTTCTGTATTCTGCATTTCGAAACTCAATAGAATAAACTTTTTATACCACTTTATTATTATTGACAAACAATATTCTGGAGAGATCAATTATTTTCGGCCAAATGAATGTTAGTTTTAAACGTTGTTAATTATAAGTTATACGAAATCAATATAATATCCAATGAAATAACTAATAGGTTTTAAAACTTTGATTGTCGATGCAGAATGGAGGTTTACGTGTGGCCAATGCAAATACTTTTACTGCAGTTTTAAAATATCTAAACTATATACTGGCATCAAACGAATTTATAGACTGGGTTTGATATTTAAGACGATTGTGTTGTTATTATGTTTATTTAAAACGCAATGATGTAAAAAATGATTTGGTTCTTGTACCCTTATTGAGTGTTTCAGAATATAAGGATATTTAAAATTGTATGCGGTGACTCATGTACGACCATTGTTTTTGTTAAATTAAGTGAAAAGACTTTTACAAATTATTGTTATTTGTTTTCATGTATTCAATGATTCCAACCCAAGTACCTATAATTTTTAACTAAATTCCTAGGCAACTATAGTCCCAGATAATTTAGTCAAGCAAAGCCCAACAAGTTTGTTGTATGTTTTTAAGAACCAGAAAATAGGTTTAGTCAAATAAAATTTGATCAAACAATTGCTCATTTCCAAGGAGGCCAAGGCAGCTTTTTCGATGCATTCATAATAATGTCTGTATGTTCGTGATGATAAATACATTTTGTATAACTTGCTCAAATCGAAACTAACCCAGTGTTATGAAAAAAGGAATATTTCCCAATTTTTTTATTACAACGCTGGCCGGCATTTATTTTCAAAATATTTAATTTTATACTGGTCGAACTTACATAATACTTATATTTAAAAATACCATATATATTAGGAACTTAGTGTAAAACTACTGTGAGCAGTATTATAATATCTAAGTTATAAATAAAAATAAATTAAAGTAAATGGATGTTTTAGTCGAACGTGAAAAAACTGATGTTTAGAAAATGCTCTTTTAGATTTGTGTTATTTTCTTACACGTTTTTATTTCTCTAAACATTTAATTAATAAGTATTTTTCAATGGAATTCGTATGTTGTTTTAACAAATATTTGTCAGCTTTTATCAAATTCCCCAAGTTTTAATTAGTCATGGCAATCTGACACATTTACATAAAAAGATAACGCTTTTTGTTTTGTGTACAAGAACATGTTTTCACAAATTTGTACTTCGTACTATTTTAATTTTATTTTGGGTGTGCACATAAGAAGTCTTAAATTGTGTCTGTACTCCCAATATGTCAGTGGCTAATTGGTTGAGTACCCACCAAAGCAATGCGAGTAAGACCCCAATATTTCTGCAGTTTATTTTATTTTCCTTTCGCCATTTCTGTGCTTGTTAATAATATTGTTTTACAAAATAACTAGGTAAGTACACATATGTTTGTTTATTGGAAGCTTCAAGTTTCATTTTTGCTTGGAAAAACGATTTCTTCATATGTCAGAATAACATTTGCCAAGTCTAAACATTGTTCTAGCGCACAATCAATCTTAAACTTTGTCATCATCTTACAGCTGCAAAATCTAAGGAACACAATGCGAATTCTATCCATCCATAAACACATAAAAAGAAAACAAAATTCGATCAAGAAGCGACATCTTGAGCATGTGTGGTTGGGTTGGGTGGGTTGGGTTCGAATCGGCACTTAAGTCGATGAACGCGAGCACAGTTCATATAACATATCCACATATAGTACGCCACACACCGATGTCTTGGGGGCTTATAAAAGAACGCGTATCGACGAGTTTCGGTTAGTTGACTCCCAGCTGTGTCGCATCACAGACCAGTGCTAGGATTTTCGTACACTAAATTTGCTGTGTTTAAGTTCATCCAAACTTATTTATTAAAATGGTAAGGATACTAAGTACTCATGTGCAGGATTCATTTGGATATTAATAATGAAAAAAATAATTAAGGATCCTTTAAAGTCCTGAAAAGTGAAAGCGAAGATGCACTAATAAGTTCTTATCTAAAACGAATAATTCCTCAAAAGTTTTAACATTGACATTCTATTGCATTTGTTTTGAAGATTTCAATTTCATGAGGAAAAATTTAAAAAAATTAGTTTAAAATTATTTTTTTAAATGATAAATAAGAACTTATAAACTTGTCATCAAGTGTTTCTGGCAGATGGTCGAATAATCATTTCTCCTTAGATTGCTCAGCCATTTACTCAAAAGCGGATATCCCGAATAAGATTTCTATTTCTCACTTAAATATTTACGACATGACTCACTCAATATTTAATCATCTTCCAGAGGGAATGTATTTCTGTTCACATTGGACAAGCTGGCGTCCAGATCGGTAATGCCTGCTGGGAACTCTACTGCCTGGAGCACGGAATCCAGCCCGATGGCCATATGCCCTCCGACAAGACCGTGGGCGGTGGCGACGACTCCTTCAGCACCTTCTTCAGCGAGACAGGAGCTGGCAAGCATGTGCCCCGCGCCGTCTTCGTGGATCTGGAGCCCACTGTGGTGGACGAGGTCCGTACTGGGACCTATCGTCAGCTCTTCCACCCGGAGCAACTGATCACCGGCAAGGAGGACGCGGCCAACAACTATGCCCGTGGTCACTACACCATCGGCAAGGAGATCGTCGACGTGGTCCTGGACAGGATCCGCAAGCTGGCGGACCAGTGCACCGGACTGCAGGGCTTCCTGGTCTTCCACTCCTTCGGTGGAGGCACTGGCTCCGGCTTCACCTCGCTGCTGATGGAGCGCCTCTCCGTCGACTACGGAAAGAAATCGAAGCTCGAGTTCTCCATCTACCCAGCCCCACAAGTAAGTTCATCTATTTAAAAAATTAGATAACTACAAACATAAACCAGATATTTAGACCTTATTTAAAATCGTAATATTAAGAGAGAATAGGTATAGTTTCTTGAGAAAAAACTTTCATATTGCATAGTCTTTGGCGAAAACCAGCTCATCCAACACCACTTAAATATGAAATGATATCTCAGTCAAATAATTAGGCATACATTTTGAAATTATGAGTAAATAGGTACATTGCTTTTAAATTTTAGAAAAAAAAATTTCCCCTCTAAATCTTGTTCGGTTTGTAAAAAGTTTTTTTTGAAATAATATTTTTGTTAATTTATAAAAAATTGGCATTGACTTCCAATTTCTAAAACTCAGGGTACCAAATTCTTTGAGTGTTGTTTTATACAACTCAACTAATATGGTTTATTAGAGTCATAGGAAATTAGTCTTGAAGAGATACGTTAATTAATGGCTCCCAAACTTCCTGTTAGGTTTCCACAGCTGTCGTCGAGCCGTACAATTCGATCTTAACCACCCACACGACGCTGGAGCACTCGGATTGTGCATTTATGGTCGACAACGAGGCGATCTACGACATCTGCCGCCGCAACTTGGATATCGAGCGACCCACCTACATGAACCTCAATCGCCTAATTGGCCAGATCGTTTCCTCCATCACGGCCTCGTTGCGCTTCGATGGCGCCCTGAATGTGGATCTGACCGAGTTCCAGACCAATTTGGTGCCCTACCCACGCATCCATTTCCCGCTGGCAACATACGCTCCCGTCATTTCCGTGGAGAAGGCCTACCACGAGCAGCTGACCGTGGCGGAGATCACCAATGCCTGCTTCGAGCCGGCCAACCAGATGGTCAAGTGCGATCCCCGACGGGGCAAGTACATGGCCTGCTGCATGCTCTATAGAGGTGATGTTGTGCCCAAGGATGTGAACGCAGCGATTGCCACCATCAAGACGAAGCGCTCCATCCAGTTCGTCGACTGGTGTCCCACCGGCTTCAAGGTGGGCATCAACTACCAGCCACCCACCGTCGTCCCTGGCGGGGATCTGGCCAAGGTGCAGCGCGCCGTCTGTATGCTGTCCAACACCACGGCCATCGCCGAGGCCTGGGCCCGTCTGGACCACAAGTTCGATCTGATGTACGCCAAGCGGGCCTTCGTCCACTGGTACGTGGGTGAGGGCATGGAGGAGGGCGAGTTCGCCGAGGCTCGCGAGGATCTGGCCGCCCTCGAGAAGGACTACGAGGAGGTGGGCATCGACTCCACCACCGAGCTGGGAGAGGACGAGGAGTACTAAGCCGTCCTCGAGCAACACAAGCGAATTCCTTAACGGTCCTGAAAACTCTTTAAACATCACATTTTTTCCAAACCCCAATACAAACCCATAAACTCCTGCAATAAAAAAATTTAGCACAAAAGTCCAATATTTTCACTTATTTAATTAAAAACGGAAAATACATTTCAATATGGTATTTAAATCAAATTTTTAAATGGGATTACAATATTTAATAATTGATTTTAAACTAGGCTAATTATGGTCTGAAAATACCGTAAAGCATAACTTTTCCGGCTTGTATGGTGTATTAGGATTATAAATTGTATTATTTTATTATTATGTTTTTTGTTTAAAGTATAGACGAAATTAAACAAACTTTATGATTTCGAAATGTTTAAGCTTTTCAAATCGTTAGGTGTAATGGGTCCTAAGCTGACATTTCTAACCGCATGCGCAAAAATGTGTACACATATTTTTTCGCAAATTCAGTAATCAGAGACGTACCATTTCAGGAGAAGCTGCGGAAAATATTCTTAAGATAGTTGCCAAAATCTATTTTATTTTATAATATTGTGTACAATTGTATTCAAAATTTTTCTTGTTTTTAAATATACATAAATCGTTGTTTGGAAACCACAGTGAATGTTATTTAATTGTTAATGCATATAGAAATTTGCACACTCTTTTGTCTGCAAAGTTCTATATGCATGTCTGTACTCCTAAAACTTAAGACTAGTCTGATAAGTTTTTCAAGTTATTATTAAGAATTCTAGGCAATAGATATTTTTTAAGACACCGCTTTTAAAAAAGTACCAACAAACACATATTTTAATATGTAGACACATGAAATATGAATATTTTCTCTGAGCATCTACCCCTTTGAAAAAATCAATGCTCGCATTGAGGTATCTTCAAAGGAACAGAACCTACATATATAAGAAAAGCAAATAATAATGCTATAGTCGAGTCCGCCGACTATGATACTTCTTAACGTTACTAAATATATTGTAATTATATACTTATTTTTCTTTACAGGAGCACCTTATATGTATATCCTTAATATTTAAAATTCCCCGATCAAAGAAAATGATCAATAATAAGAATGATTATTATTTATCACATTCTAGGATGGGAAATATATGTACAACAATTTAATGACTTTTATATATCATGTTCCTATAATATTTCAGGTTTTATTCCTATTTTTATACATATCAGAAAAATATATTTTTTTAGATTGACTTACACCTTTATCCACTACAGGAATTGACTTAAAAAAGTAATATCCTCTTTTTCAGAACACTTGTTATGAGATCAAGAGGTGGATTTATCCGTTATGTACCTATAACTAACCATTAACATTTCCAAAACATCCTTACCCATGGCTTTCCAATCCGCTTGTCCGTTTGATTGTCTGTCCGTCCGTTTGCACATTCGTCTGTTTGTCTGACTGTCGGTCCGTCTGTGTGTATAAAAGGGCATTATTAAAGCCCATTCTTTAGTCATTATGTAAATTTGGTCAAATTACTGAAGAGCAAAATAAATCCTCTTGAGATCTCACACTATAATAATGAATATATATTTATAGTTTTCCAATCTAATTACAACATTTATCATTACAGAAGAGCTGCAGCAGGTTAAACTGATCGATGTTTCATTTGAATTGGTGTATATTTAATTCCAAATTAAATATGCATCAAGTCAGTGAACTTGGAACAAAGAATTTCGGATAAGTTTCATCAGGGTTACAAAGATGAGAGAGTTTGGGGGCTTATAACGAAGCAAACCTTGGGATAATAAACAATAATCGTTTTCAGAGAAGCTGAAGACGTCAAAGCATGGCAATCATGTTCTACCTGACAAATAAATCGGTTTCGGAGTTTAACGATTAATGACACAATATTAAAATATCCCAATCCATTTCAATGAAAAATGTTACGAATTTTAGATCAGCACAACCAACATTTTAGAAACATCAACATAAAAGAGATCATTTATGTACAATTGCTTTTATAGGAAATTATTTTTGTGTAAAAATTGGTACAGACCTCTGTAGTATAAGATTAAGGTTCAATCGAAATGATTATAAATTTCAGTTTCAAAAACATGCATCGGATACATGATGACGAATATCCTGAAGATGTTAAGGATTCTGACTTTAAGGGATCGGTTCAGAAGGAGATATCCGTGAAATCGCGTCACCAAATGTCCATACCAGATATTTGCACAGAAGCCGTCAAGAATAACTGTTTTCCGCCGACGGGTTTTTTGAATAACTCGATTGCCTTTGCGTCTCATGTAGTCAAGTGCAGTTCCCCGGCCTCGAGCATAGATGAATCCTCATCGACGGCCCAGCACGAATCCAACCCCCACATGCACATGCAGGGCCAGCATTTGATGGCTCCTGTTCCCGATCTTGGGTTCTACAATGTTCCCGAGTTCATTTCGGAGCAGGAAAAGCTCATGTTTTCCGACGCCGAAAGGTTTTTAAGGTCAAAAGATAACGAAGTTTGCAGCAATGATTTTAGCTATATGCATGACGAATTCGCCATGCGTAAGTATTATCATCCTCTATTTGCCCATGGCATATGCCGCTGGCCCGGTTGCGAAATGGACTTGGAAGATATCACATCATTTGTCAAGTAGGTGATATACAAAATGGGTTTACACAAAAAAAATGTCGGTTACAAAACCAACCCCATTCTAGGCATCTGAATACTGAACACGGATTGGATGATCGATCAACCGCTCAAGCACGAGTCCAAATGCAAGTTGTCTCCCAGCTGGAATCCCACCTTCAAAAAGAACGAGATCGCTTGCAGGCCATGATGCACCACTTGTATTTATCAAAGCAACTTTTATCTCCCACCAAAATTGACAGGAAGGTCAGTCCTTGTTGTAAAATTTATCCAAACTTGTGATATATGAAAAACTCATATTTTTAGGACGTACCCGGAAGAGACGGAAAGTTTTGCCGAAGTCCCCTCACAATTAACAGCATAGGTCGACCCATCCGCCAAACTAGTTCACCTAGCTCTCTTAATCTCCCAATGGTCAACTCCACCAACTTATGCTCGATCAAAAAAAGAAGTCACGACAAGAACTCTTTTTCCATAAATGGTGGTAAGTGTATAATATTCTTGATTAAATGTAGTGATGTGATATGATCTTCTAATTTAAGGATTACCGTACATGCTTGAAAGAGCAGGGCTTGATGTACAGCAGGGTAAGTAAATTATATAGACTGATCAGATGAAAGACGTTATACGAGGTGCTTCTGGAAGGCATATAATCAGAATTTAAATTTGCAGAAATTCATCGAAATAGAGAATTTTACAAAAATGCAGACGTGCGACCGCCTTTCACATACGCTTCACTCATAAGACAGGTACACTATAATAATGAACAATTCAAGAAAAGAAGAGACATAATTACCGTACCTTTCATCTAATTCCAGTCCATTATCGACTCCCCCGATAAGCAGCTAACCCTAAACGAAATTTACAATTGGTTCCAAAACACCTTTTGCTACTTTCGGCGCAATGCAGCTACGTGGAAGGTAATATAGACTTTTTTCAAACTTTCCTCTCTTATAGTAGAATTTTTTAGAGTACGAATTTGATGTTTAAGAAATGTTATAACTTTTGTCCGTCTGTTTTCTTGTCCGTCTGTCCGATTGGCTTTTACAGCTTGTCCGCTTTTTTTGTATCCCTAATTTTCCCGCATGCCTATTCCATGTACATAAAAATATATCGTGGGTTAGTTGTGTATATAAGGGATCTCTGAAAAGGTAAGCTATTCCGTTTTATTCAATATAATATTTTTATATCTTAAGATAATACAAAACTTAAAGTTTGGCCAATGCTAACTGATAATATACACCATTAGAACGCAGTTCGGCATAATCTGTCCCTTCATAAGTGCTTTATGCGGGTTGAGAATGTGAAAGGAGCAGTTTGGACTGTTGATGAGATTGAGTTTTACAAAAGACGACCTCAGCGCACTGCTGGCATTGGTAACAACTTAACAGGTGCTACCAATTCGCCGGACACAAATTATTTTGTAGCCATGAACATTGGGTATGTGGGTCTCAAATAGTTTAATACTTACTTTGCTCCAAATTACTACAATTTTGCTCTGTTAGTAAACATATTAATGGCATATGCATGCTTATATCGATATGATGACATTATAAGATTTTTTACAGCACTCGTATCCCTAAATGGTATATCCCCAAATGGTGTCTGTCTGCTCATCAGTTTATAAGTCTGTCCGAGTGTTAGGTAATGAAGGCATTTAAGGATAGGTGAAATGGGTCGAAATGCTACGGAAAAGTTTAAAACAAGCCAAATGAACTAACCTTTTTCTCAACGAACTTTTTCTTCCTTTCCCGATAATGAATGTTCCTGTTTCTGAACTTTGTTGGGGCTCTCGACTTATAAAACAAATATTAAAGAATGCGATACGTACGAATCTATCATTGCACAAGTGCTTTGTACGTTATGAAGATGACTTTGGCTCGTTTTGGATGGTCGACGATAATGAGTTTGTTAAAAGGCGGCACTTGTCAAGAGGGCGGCCACGGAAATATGATCCGTCCTCCTCCCCAAATTCTTGCCAATCTGGCAACGGTGTGTCTACTGACAAAAATCCCTGCGACAATTGTCCCCAACATTGCTCGAGTATGCCTCCGGGGGCTGAAAATCCCCTAGATCCAAACAATCCAAATGATATCGGGCGAATTGGTTGTCTTCCGTTTTGCGGAAGTGATGGTTTAAATAAGGTGTCTAAGGAGTATAGCAATATGGATTCGGGAATGGTCGAAAGTAACAGCCATTTAGCAATGGATGAATACTCTACTAATATGTATGAAAGTAGTGCCAGTGAGCATAATCGATAAATGTATCAATAATACTATTTATTTAGATGCATTGTCGACATATCTGCGTTTTTTAGTCAATAAGGTTCGGATTCGGAAATTATACTTGTAAATACACATAGTTATAAGTATAATTTCCTTAATAGAAACAAAGAAAAAACACTTTTAAAATAAATTACACTATTGCAATAAAATAAATACAACTTTCTGTAAAATATTATAGCAGAATTAATTTTTTTTTCAATCTGCTCTAATAAGTTAGTATACTAAACAACTTAAATAAACACTTTCGAAGAGTATTTAGATTTTCAGCAATTCAAAAAGGGTAAAGTAAATACTTCTACTAAGAGGTACACCCGCATGATTGCAACATGAAGTAAATTCTCCCAGGTGTAAGTAAGTAAAGGAAATGTTCATTTCCAGATTTCTTAATTTTTGGCCCTTTTAAACATTCATTAACAATTTCTCGTTTTATTTCAGGTGAATGGTGATACTGGGAAACCACTAAATAAAATATTATTTACCAAAAAATAAACAAACCCTTGTGATTAAAGTTTCTAAATTTTTCAGGAGTATAATACGTTGAATTCTTTTGGGTTTGGAGTCTTTGTCATTTATTTCGGATAATGGTATTTTTTAAACTATATATTATTTTCCACTGAGTAATTTTTATCACGATCCTCACCGCTGATCTCTTAAAAATTGTTCAAAAACTTCGTTTGAAAATTTTTAAATATGTATTTGGTTTTTGTCTAGGCTTAAAGAGGCATCCAAGTTACTTACCATATGTAATAGGCCGTTATATTGGCCGTTATATTTTAACGGTCAAACAAACAATAACATTTTCGGTTATTTAAGGAAACATTTCCACTGAATGGGATTGTTTTATGTTATACATTTCTATACCATGGTTGTTTTAATAAATATAACGCCTGACTGCTGTTTTTTGGGGAGTGAAAAAACTGTTGTTCTCATTATAATTTTTTTTACGGAACTTTTTATTAAAAAATAAAGAAAACACTGAACCAAATCAAAAACAGGTTGAAATAGTATGCCTTTCATTTTAAATTTACTTTAAAAAAATCATTTAAACAAATTGGCCAAAATATTGGTATATAAATGGTATTTCCAGTCTCAATGATGGTATATAAATAGTATTTCCGAACACTAAGATGGTATATATTGGTATTTATTTATCGGCCGCATGGAATTTCGTGTCGCTATTGGCGCGGCCACACTGCTGGAAGTCTATCAACTTTTTGTGACATGAAAATTCAACGAGGACACTGTGTACATGAATAATTAAAAAATTAAAATGGTTTCCATGCAATTTGTTTTGCAACCGCTTCCGGGCACGGACGACCAGTTTATTGAAAGGTAAATATAAGCCCCAGGCTTCGCAATTACGCACATGTGAACGCGGAATTCCGTGTAATTGTGTACGTACGGCTGCATGTATTTGTTATGTGAAAATATGTAGGTACGCAGGTATATGTGCTCGCAGGAGGATATGTACATGGCCATTAACGTGAAATGTGAGCACAGACACTGGCGGATTCGCCGTATCTAATATTGTCCAGGCCATTCTGTAAACATTAGCCGCAGAATTTGCGAAATGCACTCGCCGATTCCCATTTTTCAGCCACAATTAATGTTCTAAGACGGCCATATATGTATGTCGGTTTGTGTGTGCCCGTGTGGGACATGTGAACTTTTGCTTGTGTGCGTGCATGTGCATACATGCTGATTAATTTGCCCACTTTTAATAAATAATTCTTAGTGAACCTTTTAAATGTTTAGAATGTGATCCGTTGGGAAGTAGTATGTGAACGTCCATGTTTCCGGCAAACATTTGGTGACCAACATATTTGCACATGGCCGTTTTGTACATAAGATATAACTTAAACTCGGTTCCCCCAGCACATGGTATTGAAATGTATCGTTTTTTCCATAACCCATAATCCAATCCACCGGCATTGCTTTGGGGATTGTAATGTAAAATCTTCCAGAAGTCGCAAATTTTCCAGCTGTCAATCATAAACAAGTGTAGATAGTCTGGCAAGGCCGGCAACCAACCACATAAATGCACCCTATATTTAGGAGGTTTCGAATTTAGTATTATTATAACATGCATGGACTTGCTGACCACGAAAAAAACAATATACTAAAAAAACAATCATTGAAATCTTTTTACAGAATTCGCGAAGTGTCGGAAAAAGTCAACAGATTTGGTTATGGCACCCATCGCATATTCGAGCAGCTGAAAATTCCGGTGAGGGAGGTGGTCATTGGACCCACGCACATTGGAGTTTTGCTGGAAGATGGCAAGGCGTTTCGCGTTTCCTTTTCCATAAACTCGGAGAAACTTGACTTGACAAAATCAGATGCAAAATGGTAAGCAAAATTGATAGCACCTTTGGGTTTATTTATTCTCACACCGGGGCTTCTTTCAAGTTCCACAAGTGGTGGCGGCGGAACGGCCAGTGCCTCGAAGGCACCCTCCTCATCGCGACCGATGGCCCGGTCCAGGGCACGACTCCTGCGCGCCACAGGCCGCTCCAGTTCCACGGGACAGGGTTCTGGGTCGCGCAGCACGGGCGTGATTATCGGGGGCAGCACCTCGAGCCGACCCTTGGTCACAGTTCCGGCCACTTACGTGCCGGAGGAGCTTATATCCCAAGCCGAGGTGGTTTTACAGGGCAAGAGCAGAAATCTCATTATTAGAGAATTACAGGTAAGTCAACCAAAATAACAATACCCCCGATCTTTAAATAACAAACTATTCTCTTTATAGCGCACCAATTTAGATGTTAATTTAGCTGTGAATAATTTGCTTTCCCGCGACGACGAAGAAGCCGAAGATACCGAGGAAGGTGCCGATAACTACGTGCCTGAAGACCTTATCTCACTGCTGGATAATGGCTTTAGCGGAGATAACAACAGCGTCATCATTGATCCCTCAGATGGACTTTTCTCGGAGGAGATATTTAGCAATTACTCCAGCATTCGAAAGTAATTAATTCAATCATTCGAATTAAGAACGCCCCTACGAACTTGACTAGGCCGTAGAACAAAACTGTATAACTCATCCTTTTACCATTTTCCAGCCTTCTGTTCGATCGCATTCGTAGTGAACGCAGTAATGCCAATGCAAATGCCGCAGACAGTAATCAATCGACCCGCTCCACAACTTCGGGTGCGGCTTTAACAGGTAGCAGTGGACTATCGGCTCAAATTTCGGTTAACGCTGACCGCGAAGCCTTCAGCCGTTGGCGTGATCGTCAGTACTACGGACCACGTCGCTGGATTAGCAAAGACGACTACACTTGGGAGAAGGATGCTGGTAAGTCTATATGAGCCCATAATACTTTCCGACACTGATCCCCATTTGGCACAGATTCCAAGAAAAAGGAGCCATCACCAATGCTGTCCCCGATTTGGATATCGGAAGAGTTGCAGCCATGGCCGGAGAAAAGTTCGGTGAGGTTTAAGACCATAGGCGCCTTATACTCGGAGTTCATTGCCTTGTCGGAGGGCGGAGATTTATACCAGTGGCGCTGGGCAGATGCAGAGCCCTACAAGTCAGAGGTAATTATTAAACATTCCTGATAAATTAAAAAATATATATATCCTTTTTATTTATAAAAATGTCTTGTACTAAAATATAATTTATTTGTGTTTTCTTGCAGACGGAAAACGTGTATCATCCCAAAACTGCGGCACTCAACATAACTGAAAGAGTGGAGCTTATTTCGGCCAACTTTATCAGATGTTCCGTGGTTACAGAAAGCAACCGCGTCGCCACCTGGATGGACGAGCAGCTGGGGTATCTCGGCGCCAAGCTAGAACACAATTCTTGCTCCTTCAACGAGTTTATATCGGACAACATAACAAAGATCTATGTCTGCTCGCTGTACACGGTGGTCAAGACCGACAGCAACAACATCTACTGGTGGGGAGTCCTCCCATTTGATCAGCGACGATACTTGTGGGACAAATTCCGGACAAAGACAAAGAAGCCCTTTAAGGTGGTGGCAACCGATATTAACGTGGGCGCTCAAGTGATAATGAAGAAGTGCCCCATTTACCAATCCGGATCAATCGGATTCACGTGCTCCAATGGCGTGCCGAAAGTTGGACAGCTCTTGAACTCGGTTTGGAACTTTACCGATGTGTGTCGCATGAAAATCATTAATATAAACACAAATTCGGGAGTGGACAAAACCCAAGCAGCTGGCCTTAACCTAAACGCCCATGGAGTTGCGCCAGATAAGGATCTGCCAAAGGCCACGGCCATTCCAAGCAGTGGGAGCAGTAAGAATGGACAGTCCTTCTCAAATAGCAAGGAGTCGACCGATCGCATAGACATGCCACCTCCGCCGTCGCCGGCATCCAGCACATGCAGCGACACCGGCAGCGTCACATCTCACAAGCGCACCAAGCGAGTGACCACGAAAGAGGACTCAAACGCCCCCCAGGAGGGCCGGAAGGATGAGGAGCTGTGGCAGCTGAAGGACGTGGTGTTTGTCGAGGACAAAGTGGGCCCAGTGGGCAAGGTGCTTAAGGTCGATGGTGACTTTGTGGCTGTTCGCTTTCCTGCAATGAACGCAGCAGCCGCTGCAGTTGCTGCTGCCGCCGCCACCGCAAGCTCCTCTTCCAATGCAGCCTCCACATCCAAGGAAGAGGGCAAGGAGGACGACTGGCAGCAGTGCCGTCTGCTGCGCCGCGAGGATGTCCAGATATTCCGCACTGCTATGTCCACCCGTGGTCCCGACTGGTTGCAGAAGCAGCCAAAGAAGATCAACGTCGGTGCCGATGCGGCTGGCGTCCAGCTTCTGACCCTGGCCGTGGACTCGCGCGGCATCCATGTGATCAAGAAGGTGCTTGGCAAAATCCACTACAGCCTGTACAACCTGTATAACAGCAAGCAGGAGCAGAACTGCCTGTTTCCCACGGACTGCGCCTCTTTTATTGGCTCCTCGCCCGGTAACATATTGATGGCCTGCAACAATGACTGCAGCGGAAACAGCAGCACAATTGTGCTCCGGGATGGCAATGGAGCCCTGTATCCCTTAGCCAAGGATTGCCTCGGGTCGATCAAGGATCCCCAGTGGTTCGACCTTCCCCCGGTAAAGTCCATCACGATGTCCACAATATCGCTGCCGGCAATGCTCTCTGGCGTGAATTTGAAGTCAAAGGTGTGCATGACTGCTTTGCTCTTCGACACCCAGAAACTCATGCCGCACATCTTGCGTTGCGATGTAAAGAATAGCTTTGCCGCCCTCAGTCGCTTGGAGAGGGAGGATCAGGCGGATACGGCTCTGGTTGTTGAAGAACGTTGCGATGGAGCCCGAAACATTTTCCATGCGTGTGTGATTATGTGTGCTCCATCCTCAAACAAGGATTCACCACCGGACTCGCCTAGCGGTGGTGTCGAGAAGAAATCCCTAGCTGTGGGACTCTCCGTGGCGCGCTCCATCCCAACGGTGTCGACCAGTGCTTACGTTAGCAGCAACGCCTTTGGAGCAAATGCGTCGTCCAGCAATGAAAACTCCAGCTTTGCAACCATGAGCTCTTCCGCCGCCGGATCCTCTTCCTCGACTAGCAGGGATAGTCGAATGAACCTGCGCGACATGATGCACCGCCTAATAAACAGCGATCAAGCAGAACAGTCCGGCAGCCAGCCAATGGCTACCAATAACGAGGACCACGCCTACATCCCCTGGCCAGCAGAGGCACCGGCAGCCAGCAATCTGAGCGCCAGCTCTTCGCAGAACATTGCGGACAGCATTGAAGATGATATATCGAAGATAATTCCGTCCTCTTCCCAGAGTTCCTTGCTCTCCAACATCAAGTTGGGGTCCCCTAATTACACCTTCGACCTCGCCCAACGACGAGAGCATGCCCTACTGATCCTGCAGCAGATGTGTGTCAGTCCCGCCCTGCGTCCGTACCTCTGTCAGATGCTTAGTACCAAGGATGCACAGGGCCAGACTCCCTTCATGCTCTCCGTTTCCTGTCGCGCCTATGAGGCAGGCATCATACTGCTGAACACCATCCTCTTGCTGTCCGAGCAGGATCCTCCGCTCAAGGAGGCCATGATTTTCCCGACTGGTTCCCCCGCGGATCAGTCGCCACTGCACGTTATCTGCTACAACGACACTTGCTCCTTTACATGGACAGGAGCTGATCACATTAACCAGAACATATTCGAGTGCAAGACTTGCGGCCTTACCGGATCCCTGTGCTGTTGCACGGAGTGTGCGCGGGTCTGCCACAAGGGCCACGACTGCAAGTTGAAGCGCACGGCGCCAACTGCCTACTGCGATTGCTGGGAAAAATGCAAGTGTAAAGCCTTGATCGCTGGAAATCTCACCAAGCGCTTCGCGCTCCTTTGCAAGCTGGTCTCCTGCACGGATTTGGTCACAAAGTTCAACTCCAAGGGTGAATCAATTCTGCTATTCCTCATCCAAACGGTGGGCCGACAAATTGTAGAGCAGCGACAGTATCGCTTTAACGTACGAGTTCGTAGTGTCGGCACCGCTGCCAGCGGGACGAACGGCAGCAATACAGTGATATCCAATCGGAAGGCTTCTTCCGTGGACATGGATAGCGACATGCCGGACCACGACCTGGAGCCACCGAAATTCGCTAGAAAAGCGTTGGAACGACTGTTAATCGACTGGAATGCGGTACGCTCGATGGTCATGAGCGGAGCGGAGAAGACCGAGGTGCCGAATCCAAGCAGTGGATCTGAGAACTCCAACTCGGAAGGCTTCAACATGTTCATCCAGACTCAGCATGGCTCCACACTCCTCGATAAGTTCACCCATAGCCTGATTGTGAAGTGCACTGGCGACCATCTAGACACCTTGCTGCTGACCCTGGTGCGGGAACTGCAGAACGTTAGCGTTGCCAATCGCTGCAAGGAGGCGGAGGAAGTGGCGCGTCGTTTTGTACGTTCCGTGGCACGCGTCTTCGTCATTTTCAACCTTGAGAAGCAGCCCAATCCGGAGAAGCGCAAGACGCACACCTCGTGCAACAAATACGTTCAGAGCTGTGTGAAAGTATTCCAGACGCTCCACAAGATATCCATTGAAGAGTTGTGCGAAGTATCCGAAGCCCTCATAGCTCCTGTAAGGCTGGGGGTTGTAAGGCCCACTGCTCCGTTCACAATGTCATCATCGAATCTGGATGTACGTGTAAATATGCAAAATGCTTTTTCAATTGCATGAAATCACTTTCTTACAATTAAAAAAAAAACTATATTTTATTATTTGTTTCGATTAATCTTATATCTTTAATTTTATTCTTAGAACTCTGACGATTTGTTCAGTGTGGATCCCTTGGCACCCTCCAACGTGGAGTCTTCTTCCGAGCAAATACTGGGACACGATTCTGGAAACGATCAGAGTCCCAGTTTTAATATTCAACAAAACTACGACGTAGTTGCAATGGAAAGTAAGTATTTTACTCAGATAATTTTCGTACATTTTTAACGCTAACTTCAATTTGAAATCAGCTATACGCGACGCCTCCGAATCGGAAGAAGTTATAAATCGGGAAGCCAACTCCCACAATCAAGACGATGAGCTAATAGAAAATCAACGAAATGAGGACGGCATGCAAGACGATGAGAGCGATAATGACTTCACTTTTAATGACGCTGAGACTGAGTCGGACTCCGATGACAACCAAAGCAATCAAGAGGTGCAGAGGAGCGTTCAAACTGGGGCAACAGTGGGCTCAGAAAACGGTGAGTTGTGGTAGTCTTTTGGATCCCGTATATTTATTAGTTATTTATTCTTGTCTAGACATTGGTGTTCTGTTCCTGGAGGATGAGTCGGGTGACTCTTCGGCCCAAGAAGAAGATGGTTCGGAGGATGGAGAGTCCGACGATCACTCTGACGAGTTCAACTTCAATGACCAGCAGCTGGAACGGCGTAGCACCAACTCGAACGCACGCAGCGATCTGGCTCCTCAAACCATGCAGTGGGCTATAAGAAACCGTGACACAGCACGCTCTTCCGTGAGGGTACCCACCGGATCCAACTTGGTCTTCATCGACCCAATGGCGCTGCGACGCTCCACTGTACCGGCCAGCACAACCGTCACCACTCCCTCGATCGAACCTCATACCATGGCGACAACGGCTAGCAACTTGGCACGTGCATTTGGAATCACAATAAGGCAGATCTCCGAGCTTATAAGCATTCTGTCTTACAACATAGTGAATGACATCGAAACATCATTGAAAATCCAAAGTGATGAGGCGATTGCAGTTCAAGTGAGTACCTAAAAGTATAGTTAGAACATTGAAAATATTCACACCTAAATTTAAATTTACATTTTCATTTAACAGGCATTTGTAGAAAAGCGTTTGAAGGCTACTTGGGATTGGATGTTCACTGTAATGGACGGAACCGAGGCACAGTTAAAGTTCGGCGCTTACTTGACTAACTACACCGATCCCAACCATCCGCTGCATCCGCTCAACCTTAGTGCTCAGGCTTCGACTAGCCAGACGCCTGCTCCTGCCACATCTTCTTCCGTTAGTGGTGTAAATGTAATGGGTAAGTCGAAAATGTCTATTCTTTTAGTTTTTTTTTTATTTAGAACAATTTTATTCTTGAAGGATCCAATTCACGACGAGACTTCTTCACCTACTGTTTGTCCCTGATGCGTGCCCACACCTCCGAACACCGAGATGCACTGCCAGTTCTGGATATAACAGCTTTGCGTCACATTGCCTATGTGCTCGATGCCTTCGTTTACTACATGCGCAATGATACGGGCTTCTATGACAAGCAAGACACCATTTCTGGCCGCATAAACAATCTCTCCCCCATGGTTGAGAGCTATGATACGGACGACGAGTTGACTAACCTGGAGGACTTCAACGCTGACGTACAGCCGTCTACGAGTAGCATGCCTTCAGGAAGCCAGGGGACACGCCGACACGCTTTCTTTGCGCGCTCAGAATCAACTCTGAGCTTAGGCTGCTCGGCGCCAGAAGGCTTCGATCTGCCACTGGACATGGCCATGCCCCTCGCCGACAAACCACACTTGCTGCAGCCAAATTCAAAGCGCCAGGAGCTCTTCGCAAACCTACCGCTGCTCGTGACCACGAGTGCAAGCAACAGCGCTCCCAGTAACAGTGGTGGCAGTATTTTTGATTACACACCCACAAGGCTGGGATTCTCGAATTCCTTGAAAAGGAACGAGCATGTTTATGAAACAGACCCGGCCAAGCAGTCGATGGAGGTCGTAGTCAATATGGATACCAGTAAGACGGGTGATGGAAATGTAACTTATAAGGCTGAGGGCTCTACAGACTCTAATATTTACGTACAATTGAAGAAGAAGCAGGGCTCGGATGATTTCAAATCCCACAAAGAGGCTGATGGTGAGTAGAACTTATATAAATGTATTGATCTGAATATTAACCGTGTCTGTGTTCTACAGGTAATCACAGCAAGTACGATAAAGTGGTGCTAATGGAAACTGATGATATCAGCAGTCTTCCCAGTACCAGCAAATCGACTGAGGCGTTAATGGCCACTCGGCCGGAAGTTATTATTGCGCCAAACAAAGCCTCAGTGTCACCGGCGACAGCAGCCCGCAGCGTTATAGTTCTCGCAGGTGGATCCTGTTTAAAGACGATTGATTCGGACCTAAACAACTTCTCGGCCTCAAATTTATCGACTGCAGAACAAGCGAAATGTGATATACATCATCAAAAGTCAACACCACACCACCAATTAAGTTTTCCCGTTCGCGGCTCTCTGTTTTACCAAAGTAATTTCTCGGAATTGCCGTCGTGGAACTTTTTGCTGAGTCGCTGGAAGCTCACCCTGGATTTATTCGGCCGTGTCTTCATGGATGACGTTGGAATGGAGCACGGGTCCGTGTTGCCGGAACTGCGCGGCTTCCCCGTCAAGGAAATGCGTTTCCGTCGTCACATGGAAAAACTGCGCAACGGACAACAGCGCGATTTGGTTCTGTGCAAGCTGGAGCGCAATCGTGAAAGTTTAATTGTTCAGACGTTCAAGGAACTGAATACCCAGTTTGGCAACCAAAACCGGCGTACCCAGCCGCCCATCACATTTAACCGCGTGAAGGTGACGTTCAAGGACGAGCCGGGAGAGGGATCCGGTGTGGCGCGCAGCTTCTACACATCGATCGCAGAGGCATTGCTGGCCAGTGCCAAGATCCCGAATCTGGAGTCCGTTCAGGTGGGCACCAGCCACAGCAAGTACGGAGTGCCGTTCTCGAGCATCCTGCGCAGCCGAACCGTGTCGGGATCTAGTCGCGATCAGTCCACACTGCAGAGGCGTGGCACCAGCAGCAAAATACTGTGGCGTTCGGCTCGTGAGAGAAAGGCATTGAATTTGGATGCCAGACCGTACACGCCAGTTACTAATTCAGGTAAGGGCTAAGAATTAAAAATGTATATTAATAGAGAATGACTAACTTGCCCTATTTAGATAATGCAATGCCAGAGAGCTTGAATGATCATTTGTCTGTCCACCTACAACAAATTGGCGAACGTCTCTACCCCAAGGTAAGGTACAAACAACCATATAAATACAAATCAATAACACTTTTACTTGCTCGACAGATCCACTCGATAAACCAAACGCATGCACCGAAGATTACAGGAATGCTGCTGGAGATACCTACTCCACAGCTCCTGTCCGTGATTTCCTCAGACGAGACACTGCGTCAGAAAGTTAACGAAGCGATAGAAATAATCACCTTCAAATTAAAATCTGAGGCCAGTGCACAAAGTAGCCAACCAAAAAAATCACCATCTGTGGTGCTGGTCGAACCCGTGGACGACGATAATGAGCCATTATTTTACTCTCCGGGAAAGCGGGGCTTTTACACACCGCGCCAAGGCTTTGCATCGTTCGAGCGCATTAATGCATTTAGAAATATTGGAAGGTAAGATATCTTGGTTACGCTTCGATCCACCTCTTACACATTTAATTTGTTTCCCTCCTCCACACAGACTTATTGGACTATGTCTACTCCAAAACGAATTGCTTCCATTGTTCCTGCAAAGACATGTATTGAAATACATTCTTGGGCGTAAAATTAAGTTCCACGATCTGGCATTTTTCGATCCAGCCCTGTACGAATCTTTTAGGCAAATTATTCAGAACGCCCAAACAAAAGAAGGCGAGGAAACTATTAACCGAATGGAGCTCTGCTTTGTGTAAGTTTCTCCCCTCAGTCTACATTATAGGCATTTAATAATCGGTATTTTCAGGATTGACTTGATGAAGGAGGAGGGCTGTGGCAACCGAGAGCTTATCCCAGGAGGGCGCGAAGTCGCGGTCACTTCGGGTAACATATTCGAGTACATCAGACGATACACAGAATACAGACTAATCAAATCCCAAGAGAAAGCACTCGAGGTATGCTGGCATATGGCGTAAAATGATGTTGTAATATTAAATGTTTGACTATTTACAGGCACTTAAAGACGGAGTTTTTGACGTCTTGCCCGATAACAGCATGAATAGCTTGACCGCCGAGGACTTGCGTCTGCTGCTGAACGGTGTCGGTGATATAAATGTTTCAACATTGATTTCATACACTACCTTTAACGACGAATCTAGCGAGGGTCCGGATAAACTTTTAAAATTTAAGAAATGGTTCTGGAGTATTGTTGAGAAAATGAATATTTTGGAACGTCAGGATTTGGTAAGAAGCTATTGCAAACGCCATGAAACAGCCACAATAACCGCAATTCTTTCAGGTGTACTTCTGGACAGGATCGCCTGCGCTGCCAGCTTCGGAGGAGGGATTCCAACCGTTGCCATCTGTCACCATAAGACCCGCGGATGACTCTCATCTGCCGACTGCGAATACTTGTATATCTCGGCTGTATATCCCCCTGTACTCCAGCAAATCCATTTTACGCAGTAAAATGTTGATGGCCATTAAATCCAAGAACTTTGGATTTGTATAAGCGATTGGAAAACTTTCCTATTTGTATAAGCATCAAAATCATTTCTTAATTAACTTAAGTTTTTTCTGAGTTTTGACTTGTCATATTTAACCATACCATTCCCATTTTGGATTATCTATTGTTTTAAATTTTTTTCGAATTTGAACAATTTTTACGTAACACTTATTCAAAGAGATTGGCGCGGGTCATGACGGTCTGGCTTGACCTCACCTTGTAGTAAAAATATGAAATTTCCAAACAATAAATATAACCAGAAAACGGCCAATTAGGTATTAGGAGCCTATGTTTTAATTATTAAACTTTTAAATAAAATATGTTTTCTAAAGTATGACTTATGCACATGTATATTTATCGATATCGATTCAATAGAAATTTGAAGAAATAAACAATAAAAATAAGTCCACTTTATGGAAATTATGTATGATATAAAATGTGGAATATTTTATTTGGGGACTCCCATTAACGACAATTTTTGAAACAACAGCTATTTGGCGTGTGGTGAAAACAACCGATTTCCTGCATGCATATCTTCATCCCTCTCGCACTCCATTTAGCTGACTTAAGCGTTATTGAAATTTCATTCCATTTAAGATTTAAATAATAGACATTGCATTTTATATGAAATAAATTATTAAAGGTTTATTTTTATACATCCTTAAAATAGTTTTGGATATACTGTTGGCGCATAGTATCGTAATCTGAAAGCTCTACCCAAACCATGCTCTTGGCTATAGAATACAAGTGATATCTTAAACTAGGATTGCGAAAAGTGCATTCGAGACACTAAGTTATTATATTTTTACAGTGATACATTTTAGACTGTCCTTAAATATTTGTTCCGGAAACACAATCATCCCATAATTCTAGACAAACAGGTACCCTCACGAGTGTTTAAAAAACAAAAGCGAACTAAATAAAAATCGACAATACTTTCCACTAATCTGTGTTATAAAAAAACCAATAAAAACAAAACAATGCTATTCGATGATGACTGGGAATTTTTCCACTTCCTCACACTCCTTGTTGAAACTGGTAATGAACTCCATCAATTTAGCCTCATGCTCGATATCTTTACGCGGTCGTTTGCCGTGAGGTTGCTTCTGCGGAGAGCTGAAGCTTTTATTGTGCGAGTCCTGCTCGTCCTCGTCTTCAGATTCACTCTCAATGTACAACAACTGCACTCGCTGCTTCCGCTTTCGCTGTGGACGCTCTTTCACGTAGGTTCGCCTTGGTTGCTAAAAAAAATGAAATTTGAAAAGAGATTAGACAAAATAAAATCATAAATGTTGTCAGATTTGAATTTATTTTGTGCGAGCTGCTTACTACCGTTCAAAGATAGGCTTTAATCTTTGCGGCCCTGTTAGCTCAACTGAGATCGTTAACATGTCTCAGTTTCGTATTAATCTGGCGCTAATTGGTTAGTATCCACATCTGTATTGCAATGTCGACACTTCCGCAACGCTGAATCAAGAGTATAATTTAATCTTACTTTTTCGTCAAATGTTTTCTCCGGGTCGGCTTGATCCCTAAACAATCCCATGGTTTCCCTTGGAGGCAGTGCAGCTTTCTTGCGTCTTGGTCGTGTAGGCGGCGCAATCATTGTGGAGCAAAACACGTCTCTAATATCTGACTGCTTCGACAGGCATTCCCCAAGGTAATCACCATGCAACGAGTTGGTAGATACATGTGGCAGCTCTCCATCGCGGGGACGCAGCTCCGCCAGTCGATGGAGTTTATCATGCAGGGTTTCGTTTTGACTCAAAGCTGCGGAGACGTTTGCCGGATCTTCATTTTCGTTTATAAATTCCTCAAATCCAAAGAGATTTCGTGAGGTAGAGGCTCGTGGTGTTGGGCTTTTTCCAGAGAGATTAGTTTGCGTTTGACTGCGATTCGTTGGAGATGCAGTCTGCATTGAACTAGTTGACCCTCTAGGGAGAGTGATACCATTTAAGGGAGTGTTTGTTGCATTTTGCGGTTCCGTTGTTTTACTAGCTATATCTTCACAGGGCAAAATCTCGTCAAAGCCAAAAAGATTAGTCCGAGTTTGACTGCGCTGAGCTGGTGATGCAGTGACTGCTTTGTTAGTAGACACTCCGGTGAAATTGGTTTCCTTCGAGGGAGTAGTTTGCACATTTTTCTTCCACGGCGGCAAGGTCACCACTTCTATGATGTTAATTTCTTTGAAGGGCGCTCTCTTCTGTAGCGTTCTCCGTGGATTCGGCAGGTGGACAAAGTTCTCCGCATTCTCTACGTTTTCCTGGTCATTGAATGTCATCGTTTTGCTAGCAGTGGAAGGCGGGAGGTTCTCTTCATTCGAGTCGTTCGCATTTAAGTCATGACCTTGCACGGGCAAGGGCGGACAAATGGACACCTCGTGAGCAGGCTCCTCGGATTGCTCCGCTAGACCATCCGGTACATACACATGCCGTCGCCGCAAGTGATCACTGGAGTAAGAGGGCAGCTGGGATGTGTTGAAGCCAAACATAAAAGTATTGGGCATTGGCGACTCGTCGGTAACGCGCCAAGGCGACGACGCTCCCGCCGGACTGACTGCATTTGGAGACGGGCGGGTAATGGGCGATATTGCATTGGTTGTGGCACTGGCAGCTGACACCGGGGGTACCTTACGATTCAGCGGCGTGCTAACCAACTGGCGCGCCATGTTAATCAGCTCCCGACGTCTGTCTGTCGATTTCGGAGGATTCTGCGCTTGGGTTCGATGCAGCATCGCGGAGCGGGCCAAATCGCTGTAGGCTCCATCCTGGGCTTGCCTGGAAGTGCTCGGCTCGACGTGCACCTGAACGGGCACCTCAATGGGCTCCATGCAAGGAGCATAGACATCCGAATCGTTGCTATCCTCCTCGGGCTCGTAAACGGTCGAAAGTGCGCGTGATGGCTTCTGTATGCGCAGTTCCTTGGGCTTTGGAACCGGCTTAGGGGGTTCCATATCCTTCAACGAACACTGTCTCCGCCTGCCCACCGGTTTGATCTTGTTTTTACTCCTTTTGGCTCTTGGTTTCCCAGATTTGGTTGACCGCACCATCACACAGGCCTTGCCGTTCTTCACCAAGCGCTGAACTATGTCCGCCGCGGGATCCTCCCTGTTGTCCTCATCTTCGATCTGGGACTGCGAGAGGAAGTCGAAGACATTGCGGTTAACCGAGGAGCGTGTTCTCGATGGCGGCTGATCTCGGTGGAAGAAGCGTGGTGGCTTTTTGGGAGAAACCTCTGCCGCTGGTTTGCTTGGGCTGTTAACCCTGGGGATTAGTCGACAAGGTGACTTTCTTGGACCTGGAAAACGTTGTGGGATTTAGCAAAAACTACTTTATATGCCGTATGATGACCACTTACTTGCTGCCTTCTTCCTGGTAACTGGGGTTTGTTTTTTGATCTGTACATTCGAGGGAACGTACATCGTTGAGTTTCGAGCCGGCTCGAAAGTGCTAGAATCCACTTCGGGCGCTGGCTCCTCGGGCGTCTTTATGCGCCTTAGTTTCACTGCGCATTTTTTGAGGTTGTACTGGGGCTCCTCTATTACGGCCAGAATAGCTGCGTCCGAAAGTTTTTTATCGCGCGGGCGATTGCGTCTGGTTGTGGTCCCCGCATCCGCGGCCGAAGCGCACGGCGCTGTACGAGTTTTAACCATTTTATTTACACAATATGTTTACCAGATGAAATTCATGTACAGCTCCCGCCATTTTACTCGCTAATGACCTTTCGCTGATCATTTAAAAATACCACAACACACTGCGAGTGGGTGGTGAACTTGGCTAAGAACTATGGTCACACTGCAACAACGAGCATCGACACTTTCCAACACTGGCCACCAGGGATGGACCACCGATAACTGTCGATAGGCGGACAGAGAACCAGATGATTGGCCTCGCAATAATGTAAAAACTAAATAATTAGCTGTTTCCAAATAATCCAAATTCCAAATTCCTTGCACTACGATCCGCCGTGCGCGTGTGTGTGTCGCTGTGAGTGTGTCCGGGCAGATACGTGTCTCGAAACTACAACTGAGAAATAAGCAGGAGAAACGAAAAAAACCCCCCGAACAACCCGAAAACTGAAAATCGAGTGAAAGTTTTTCTCGTCTTTGTTTTGTAATTATTGTGATTTTCCTGCCTCTGCCAGCCCGCATTACTGGCAATATTGGATCGACATTGAGGGCCATAACGACGCTGCTGCGGGCGCGGGTGGCTGCTGACGGCGATTATAGCGATATATTGAGCTATTACAGCGCTCGGGGGCCGATTTCTTGGCCCTATTGTGATTGTGACAGCGCCACACAGTGTTATATATTTAAATCGACTCGAATCGAATCGCCGTCGCCGTCGCAGTCGCGTTTTCTGGGACTGCTACAAAAGGCCTTGCGAATTTCTGCGCCAGGTACTGTGGGAAGACGACGGATGGTTGGGATGGCTGAACTGATGGCTGATGGCACGGGGCGAATCCCAATAAGAAACTAGCGCGAAAACCCCCCGTCCACCTTCCGTACATGTATCTGCACATACATACCTACATAGCTACATGCACTGCACGCGATACATACGAATAATGGCAACAAACAATTGCAAGCGACCCAGTAGTAGCACCACTACCTCCCCTCCACCTCCACCTCCACCTCCTCCATCGATACCAACACCAATGCCAGACCCAATCCAATCCATTCCCAGAGACCGAGGCCCCGAAGGCTGAGTGTGACGCCACTGGGGGTACGGGAACGGAACGTAGAACGGAGCCAAGGCAGATGTATCTGTATCTGTGGATGTATCTGCGAATTATGTCTCAGGGTCAAGGACACCGTTTCTGCCTCGCTAACCGTTGTTTGACCTTATTAACAAGTTGGAAATGGTGGTACTAGGGCACCGAAGAAAGCAATACCCTTTCTGGTTAGATGTTTTGAGAATAGCTAAGGGATACAGAGTACTTTCTTTTAGAAAATTAATACTTGGAAAAATAAGTCAAGTTTGATTTTAGAATCCTCCAAATTAAGAATGTTAGCTAAATGCTATATAAGTTTTGAAATATCTCTAAACTTCCAAGTGGGCATCCCTATATTTTGTTATTCCAAAAGAACTTTAAAAAATCTATGATATATGATTCCTATTTTCAATAGATCCTATCATAATCAACTATCGATAAAACTTTTAAAATTTTCCTAAGCATTATTATGAAGTAGTATTCCTGTAAGAAGATAGTCCGATTAGAAAATAGCAGACAGACACACTTGAACACTTGAAAATATTTAAGCTAAGTTTGTGGGTTGCCCTTTTAAAATACCATCCTTATGCCAACCAGTTAAGCGAAGGATCCCTTTTCATTGGCAGAGCAACTGCATTGGCTGGCTCCGCGCACAAAACGATGTGCGATACCAAAGACGATGCGCAGAAATGGAAATGTGAAATTTGCACCTACGAGAACTACCCATCCTCGCTGAAATGCACCATGTGCCAGGCGTCCAAGCCGCTGCTCAACGAGGACATCTTCCGGTAAGGCAATCCTGGCCAGCTTTAAGGTCTCACTTGCTAATAAACATCCCTTCCTTGCAGTCTGAGTCCGGCCCAGGAGAGCAGCTGCGCGGCGGAGGAGGCGGCCGCCGTTGAAGTGGCTGTGATGTCGCCCACACCCTCGTCCACGTGCTATTCGATCCAGCCACAGAACCAGGCGCGGCAGAGCAACGTGGCGGACAGCGAAAAGTGGCCCTGCAAGGTGTGCACCTATCTCAATTGGCCGCGGAGCCTGCGATGCGTCCAGTGCTGCACGAAACGCGGCGGTGAGGCCATCGAGCGGGGCAACAAGGACAAGGATAACGAGGCGGATGCGGATCGAGCCGGAGAGGCGCTGCAAGCTCTTCGCATCAGCGGATCAGAGGAGAATCTGACCAACAAGCCAGCCCAGCTCATCGGGGCCACGGCCTCGAATCGTTTGAGCCTCAGTCCTGGCATCGACGATGCCACGCACCTGAACAATCTCGCCAATGCATCCCACAACCAGTCGCAGTCCCAGCACCGACCGCCTGTCCACCAGCAGCAGATGCAGCTCCAGCTGCAGCCCCCGCAGCAGCGGGAATCCTCCTCCTCCGCCGCCGTCCCGCAGCAGCAGCAAAAACAGTGCTATGTGGCCAAGTGGGCGTGTAATGTAGGTTCCTCATAGACTAACTAATTCCCACATATTAAAAGCTTGTATCTTCCTTAGTCGTGCACCTACGAAAACTGGCCGAGGAGCATCAAGTGCTCGATGTGCGGCAAGACGAGGGAGCGGGAGATCAGTGGCTCGCAGAACGACTTGCACGCCTCATCCAGCCTAAACAGCCAGGAGGAGCAACAACAGCAGCAGCAAAACGTGGACACCGTCAGCGTGAACAACTCATTCAATAAGAAGCACATTTACCAACTGGGTAGGGTTTCCTTATATGATTACCTTTGGAATGAGTAATTGATAGCCTTTCGGCAGGTTCCT